AGTTAATTCCTGATAAATAATAAATAAATAAAAATACTGATAAATAAATACTGAAAATACTGATGAATTAATCATGATGGGCTAACTGGCCTGTTTTCATTCTCATCTATATTCCATTTTAGCGCAGGCGGGGTTGCCATTCCATTTTCACCCATCAAAAAAAAAAACGATGGATTTTTCATCCGCAGACAAAATTTCTTATTATTATGAATGTCTCGTACTCCCAGGTTTCGAACTTCGACGATAAACAACCTAGATCATCATCCTCCTACCCTTATTATTTGGGGTCGGCGTAATATGTTTTTTTATACATATTACAAAAAGATTTGGCTTATAGTTTTACGACCGGCCGTCTGCCTGATGTCAACCCTCAACCTAGATAAAAAATTTAATGTGATCATAGATAGAAAAATCCCTAAATTGCATACATGTTTGCAAATACCTACACTTGCCAATCTCTTTAGGCTTGTGCAGACAAAGGACAATTCTTGGCGTACATTTTGTACGTCAAAAAGATCGAATTAATTTGAATTTTAAAACACAGGAGGGCAAATGAGCATGCAGCTCACCAGATGGTAAGTGACTACCGCCGTCCATGATCATTCGCAACACCAAAGGCATTGCAGGTGTGCTGCCGGCCTTTTAAAAAGAAATATGCTCTTTTCTTGAAGGTTACGATGTCGTACCAGTACGGAAATGCTGCTGCTAATTTTGAAATTTTCAATAACAGACGATATCGAGGCAAGTTTTTAACTGGAACACCTGAGAATCCTCCTCTACATACAGAAGTTCCACATTGACGCTGACCCTAAAATGACGCAGTACGATTGATTGACTATCAATTGGCATGCTATGACCATAAGTATGTGACAAAAACATAGCTTCCGTTGATTCACAGCTGCACCGGATTAGTATGTGGTGGATAGACTCGCAAAAACATATCCGGAGCCATTAGCCATAAAACATGATCCTGGTGTCGATAAGAAAGATATAATTGTTTTACTTCGATGCTTTAATTTGATTTTTATAAATAACTAGCTGTTGCCCGCGACTTCGTACGCGTTTCCGTCATTTTTCGTAAAATAAGTAGCCTATGTCCTTCCTCACGGTTCAGTGATTTTGATGTAACAGACACATTTCCCTTCACTGCTCTACTCCTATTGATCGTAGCGTGATGAAAAGTATATTATAACCTGCCCAGGAGTATGAAGAATAATTGTACCAAGTTTCGTTAAAATCCGTCGAGTAGTTTTTGTTTAATTTAATTGTTGTAAAATTTTTGTCTGTCTATAACGAACATACAGAATGTTCGTTATAGACAGACAAAAATTTTAATGATTGCATTTTTGAAATCAGTATCGATCACTTATTACCCCCTGATAGTTATTTTGGAAATATATTTCATGTACAGAATTGACCTCTCTACAGATTTATTATAAATATAGAAGATTACTTTAAAGATGGAATGTGGAAATAATGTTAAATGAAAGATAGGAAAACTAGATATAGATTGTAGGTACAGCTGTAGGTTTAGACTGATCTGCAGCATTCAAATAGACCGGTGCTATCTGATGTATTCAAGAATCTGTAGAACCAGAGGGTATAAGACAATTTGTTAAATTTAAATGAAATGAGATTTATTCGTAAAAAACATAACTGTAGTTTCTTAACTGATATTAATATTATAGTATTATATTGTAAGGGTACAGTACTAGTGGTTTTAGAACTGGGCTCCTAAATAGGTTGATATAATAAACCTGTGTTAAGGGGCCACAGCCTCAACCCCGTTTAGTATTATGGGGGGCTTTAGTAATATTAGTATTATTTAGTATTGGATGAAACAAGTGATCTTTGGTACTGTACTTTATTTATTTATTAGTACAAATATGTGTACATGGCTTTCTTAATGCTAAAAGCACTCTCTCCCAGTCAACCATAGGGAAGTGTCAGAATACTCGAATGCGGTACTAGTTATTATTGATATACATACATACTAAAATTACATATATAAACGAATAAATATATATGAATAACAAATATACTTACACATATATGATATATACTATATTATACACGAAATTGAGAATAATATAAAGCACTTATCTCTTCATTCAAACATAACAAATATAATTTCAGTACTCAGTTTCGTTTATGTGTCCCGAATTATTATTCGTTAAGTATTGAATTGTTATCAGAAGTATGTACAATACAGGTATGACTCACAGTTTAACGTTTCCAGTTCAAATAACTTCCTTCACTTGTTGTTCTTTATTGATAAGATGTTTGTGTAATTACAACAAACTTGTATTTTTTTTTTTTTTTTTACAACACAGTGCGGCTCAATGGTACTACCGCCGCCCATGATCACCCACAACACCAGCGGCATTGCAGGTGTGCATATACTCTTTTCTTGAAGGTTATGTTGTCGTATACTGGAAGAAAGTTAAAAACGTCCGCCACTCGTCCAGATGATTGGGATGAAACTTTAGTGAAAAATCAGCAGCAGGTATCAGTATACGATACTGTTAAAGTCCTTTAAAAAAATGAAAATAGTAATGCCTTTTTTACGCAACTTAAAATGGTGAACAAGCTGCCGGTCCACCTGATGGGAAGTGGTAACCGTCACCTATAGACATGAGCAATACCATGGACATAACAGAGTACACTGTTTCCCCCATGATACCCCCTGCTACTGCTTTACGGTTGAAACACGAATGGGACAGAAGTGCTCAAGCAATCGACTTTTGTACAAAGTCTTATTTATTTAAAGGAATACTAACAGCATATTACATTATAACACTTATAACAAACATTAAATATAATACAATATTAATGCACGTGCCATATTAAAGGTATTCACAGCATTTACTTTAACATAATAGTTATACAGTGCGAGAAAATGAAATAACATATATAATGAATTAAATAACACTAGACTACAAATATTTTACCAGAGGGAGACTTTGTACAAAAGTCGATTGCTTGGGTACCTCTGCCCCATTCGTGTTTCTACCGTGAAGCAGTTGTGTTTGCATAGCTGTGTTTCGGTTTGAAGGGTGGGATATGGCGTGAATTTACTAGGTAAAGAGGAATAACACCTGAGTCCTCAGGAATGGCAACGCATGAGGGGTTTCATGGGCGAAACAGTATACTCTGTTATATCCATATTACTGCTCATGTCTATAGGCGACGGTTACCACTTTCCATCAGGTGGGCCGTCAGCTTGTTTGCCATTCTAAGTCGAATAAAAAAATAATTTAAAAGTTGCGTTATTAGTTATAGAAATAAACATGTAACCTGAGTTGTGAATAATATCAGTAAATACGATTATAAGTGAATTAAATTTGGTTAAGCTGTTAAGACGTTATAAGGTAACAAACAGACCCACTTTCATATTTATAATATTAGTAAGGATTACCATAAGAAATTGTTAGCCATTCTAAGTTGCATACAAAAAAAAGAAACCTCCTTCTTACAAATATGCTAGTTAGGGGGGAAAGGGATTGTTAGTAATGGAGACTGAGAATCCCATTGCTAGCAATATACCCAACCAGGTCGACCTCCTTGCGGTTCTCCCTGGAAACTATCATGGTTAATTCCTGATGAATTCATCATGATGGACTAACTGGCCTGTTTTCATTCTCATCTATCACCCTTCACTGGTGATCCGCCAGCGTATCCCATTAGCGTAGGCGGGGTTACCATTCCATTTTCACCCATAAAAAAAAAACTCACCACCGATAGGCTGTTCACCCTCATAGCTTAAAGCCTGAATGGTAGTGTACGGCGCGGTTTCAGAGATGCTTCTACCTTATAACGGTTAGCTTATAGAATGAGCTACTTGTCAAGGTTTTACTAAGAGACTAAAGCATAGGGTTCTTCAAAAATGGATTAAAGAGGTTTCTTCAAGGTTGGCAACTAGCGCGTAATGCAGAATTTTTAGGCTTAACATTTCGTGGGCTGTACCTACGCTTGTTTGCTACTTCAGTGGTAAAATATAAATTAAATACAAGAAACAGTGTAACAACTTATTGTAGATGGGGGGAAAGAGATTGTTAGTAATGGAGACTGAGAATCCCACTGCTAGCAATATACCCAACCAGGTCGACCTCCTCGCGGTTCTCCCTGGAAACTATTATGGTTAATTCCTGATGAATTCATCATGATGGACTAACTGGCCTATTTTTATTTTCAGCTATCACCCTTCACTGGTGCTCCGCCAGCGTATCCCGTTAGCGCAGGCGGGGTTACCATTCCATTTTCATACATTAAAAAAAAAGTTATTGTAGAAGTGTACATACAATTCGTAGTAAAAAAGCGCCCTCATATCAACTTTCTTAAATATCCCTTATCTACTAAAATCGTTTTTTGTTACAAACAGTTTGAAGCAGCTTTGTCAATGTAAAAAAGTTTTATTCGTAATTGTCGAGTATGTATATGTTGCAGTCAAAACTCTTAACCAGTCAAAAGTACTACTGACTAGCAAAATCAGTCAAAAGTACTTGTGACCGTATGCTTTAGTCAATTATACTTTTGGTTACAATAACAGTAGAAAAAGTACTTTTTTTTTGACTAAGTGATTCCATCAAAAGTGGTTTTGACTAGTTGTATCAGTCAAAAACTCTCAAAAAGTCCTAAACTAATTTACTTCAATTAAGTTAGGTTAGTATGTTTTCTTTGTATTGATTGTAATGCAAAATTTTTCGTAATAAACGATTTCACATTTAATAAATATCTTTTTTAGTCACATCTAACGAGGTAATAGTGCTTTTGGCTCAAGCTTTATTGCAGTTAAAACTACTTTTGTCGTAGAGCGTCAGTCAAATGTACTTTTAACCGCAAATTTGCAGTCAAAAGTACTTTTGACTGATTTTGCTAGTCAGTAGTAATTTAAACTGGTTAAGAGTTTTGACTACAAGATATATATGTATTGTGTGCCTATAATGCAATAAAATTGATATCCTATAAAATATTTGAAGTGTAAACACATGAAAACGCACCTGATTTGAAACTTGCTTCCGGCCTCCTTCTCCTCGGACTCGCAGGTGACGTTCCCGAAGGAGTCCACTGCCAAGTACTTGTCCAGGTGGGAGCGCAGGTATATCATACCTGCCGAGTGGAAGTTACCGTTACAGTCTGTTTCAATGAAGCATAATTAGTACGTAAACAAACGAATAATTGTCTCGAACACAAGACAATCTGCTGATGTATAATACAAATCAAAAATAGGTTAACTGCTTGAATGCTTTGATTTGTACCAGAGGGAGACTTTGTACTGAAGTCGTTTGCTTGGGCACCTCTGTCCCATTCGTGTTTCTACCGTGAAGCAATTGTGTTTGCATGGCTGTGTTTCGGTTTGAAGGGTGAGATATGGCAGTGTATTTACAGGGTACAGAGGAATAACGCCTGAGTCATCAGGAATGGCAACGTATGGGAGGTATCATGAGCGATACAGTATACTCTGTTCTGTCCATGATACTGCTCATGTCTATAGGCGACGGTTATTTTCCATCAGGTGGTCCGCCAGCTTATTTGCCAATCTAAGTTGCATAAAAAACAATTGTCACCAATTTTATTCAGTGTTTCTGTAATTTCGATAAAATTTAATTAACTTTACATTAATTTCACATATTGTTATTATATATTTTTCAAACAATAAACAATCGCAGCATAAACATAGGTGCATTTATAAACTAGATCCTATAAAATATTGTATACAGGGTAAAAACGAAATTGTCATTTATGCATAAGAGGTCAACAAAAAATTTCTTGTGAAAATAAATATTTATTTTAGTATTTTTTTTTATACTAGGTACATGCCTACACAATTTATAAACACAACTCTTAGAAAAATAACATTCTTGACAGATCAGCTTTCCTATTTTATCTCATGATTACAGGAACTTTTTTAGGTAATTTACCAAGTTTCGCGTCGAATTTGAAAACAATTTATACCTCTAGGGATTACAAGGATAAAGGAATGCTTTGTATCAGTAAAACTAAATATTTTTACCAATAAAACAAGGATGCAGAAACGAATAAATATTGGGGTTCACAATACTAACACAGCGCGTCCAACTACCAAGTATAATTTTTTTACAGTTAACTTGGCGATAAAAATTTACGAAAATTATTTTTTCTCTGAAAAGTCTTACAGATTGGTCCCATAGAAATTTTATCAAAATTGGTTCAGTACTTTATAGATTAAAATAGCTGATTTTGAACTAACGGAATGGCAACGCATGGGGGGCACAAACATCATGGACGAAACAATATACTCTGTTATGTCCATAGTACTGCTAATGTCTATAGGCGACGGTTACCGCTTTCCATCAGGTGGGCCGTCAGTTTGTTTGCCATTCTAAGATGTATAAAAAAAAAATTGTCACAAGTCGGTTTTTTTGTGGGTCACAATTTCTTATTTAATTTTTTTACCTTCTTTTTTCGTCTATAAGGACAATTATTCATCACTTATATCTAAAAATCACCTACATTCTTGCAAAATAAACATATTACATTTCACACAATAATAAACGAATAGAAAGTTTGAAATATTTTTTTATAAACAAGAAGAGATAAACGTAAAGTACCGCCATCTTCAATGCCGGTGCGAATGAAATTCATTAAACTAAATCATTCCGAAATGATGAGGTGGAGATTGCGGCGTGCGCATGCGACGGTTACAAAACATAACTTTCTCATTATTACGAACATGCTCCAAATACCGTTGTACGGAAGCTGTTTAATAAATTCTTAACTCGTAATTTTATAAAATTACATATGATCAGACATTGCAACACGATCAGTGTATCGGTACATCAGACAGTCTTCAGTTGGTTAGATATTAAATTAGTTATTTAAATTGGACCCTTGTAAGGCGAACCATGTTTAAGATTAAGATAAAACGAAAGGGTGATTAAAATACTATACGAGATTGTGTAGACTTCTTCCAAAACGTGGCTTGAAGGGCACATATTATATCAAGATATTTAATAAATCGATATTATAAAAAATAATCGGTTTACGTTAGCAATCTTGGTACATCTCAGATCATTGGTGTTTTAGAGATGATAACATAGGTGGTGATGAAATCAGATCAGTTGCCTCTAGTAAAAAATTCATCACACTTGAACCATGATGATTTCTGTTGAAACGACACCTGAGTCCTCAGGAATGGCAACACATGGGGGGTATCATGAGCGATACAGAATATTCTATTATGTCCATGACACTGCTCATGTTTATAGGCGACGGTTACCACTTTCGATCAGGTGGGCCGTCAGTTTGTTTGCCATTCTAAGTTGCATAAAAAGAAAACTTTTTCCATAAACTATCATAAGGAACGGTCCTGTTCTAAGTCACCTACATTCACTGACTGCAACACATTTGAGATCGTCAATGCATTTAATACGAGAAAGTCATTTCTTAATACCATTAATAATCGTACATCATTTCTTCCATTAACTGTATTCTTTGATTACCATGAAAGTGGCACGTTACTAAAGATCACTTTATTTGTACTTACATTAATCTTAGTGTAATCACATTTCTGAACTACATAATGTACCAACTACTTTATAAATAAATTATATTGAAAACATTTCATTAGAAACTGCTGGGATCAGCATTAATTATAAATAACAAACTTCAATTCAACATACGTTTGTATATAATTTATGTCTTAATTATGAAGTTTTCAAATTATTCATAATTTTAACTATTTCAACTCTTGCATTTCTTAATTTATAGTTTATAAGAGACGGAATTTAATGCGATCATTTAGGTTAACTATAATAATTTACGTATTTAAAATATTTTCAAATGTAACATTACATTTAATGCTCTAAATCTTATAATAGCTGTGAATGATCTATCAGCATATAATATAACGATCTTTATAAATATATTAGTTAATTAGAAATATTTCTCTTCGAGCGACTTCGAAAAGAAGAAAGTTCTCGATTCGGTTGTATATATTTTTTATAGTTGTTACCTCATAACTCCGACAGTTGAAAATCGATTTAAGAATTATTTTTAAAAATAAAATTTATTTTTCTCTGATAGAATATGATGAGATATTGGTCCAATAGAAATCTAATTAATATCGATTCAGTAGTTTAGTGTAAAAGAAAATAACTGGTTTTATCACAATTAACGTCCGTTTCTTTTTGTGGAACACAATTTAATTATTGTTTTTGGAATACATACAGATAGAAGAGAAAGATAGAATAATAGACAGAAAGAAAGAGAGAGAGAGAGAAATATGAAAGACGAGAAATTTGATGGATAGATTGGATACCTTACGTTGAAAATATTTGAAATTAAGACGCGGAATAGAAGCAATGGAAATTTTGCTTATCAAACAGCTAATGAAGAGGAACATTCTTGACTACGTCAAGTTCCAAAAATGAGTTTAACTAAGCGTCTATTAAACATAACAGATGGTTATATTTCTTTTAGTAAATAAACTTAGACGTATACTTAAAAACGATGTCAATGTATGGGGGGTATCATAGGCGAAACAGTACTACTCTGTTATGTCCACGGTACTGCTCATGTCTATAGGCGACGGTTACCACTTTCCATCAGGTGGGCCGTCAGCTTGTGTGCCATTCTAAGTTGTATATAAAAAAATTAAACCGTCTGTCTCAAGCTTGTCTACAGTTGCGCGAAATACGACGCCTGAGACGCTATAAAGAGGAATCGTCGAGTGATTCGTAACTGTTAAAACGCAATCGACTAGCAATTTTACGGTTGTAAACAATTGTTGCGATGTAATCGTTTCAAATTTTGTCTGATCCGATATATCATGACAACACTGATTGTATAAATTAATTATTTAGCTTCAACAAGTCAACGGGACATGTTACGGCGACCGACGTTGTAATTTATGTAGAACGCAAATAGAAAAGCTACATGGCTCGCCGGATGCGTACACCGCTCTCGTCTCGTGTGTCTGATGATATTTCTCATCGCCAATTCGCATAAGAATTTTTAACACTTTGATAATAAGGAAATTTCGAGCCACTTTAAAAGGGATGAGTTTAACAATTTTTTGCAGCAACGTTACAAGATTACGTTGGCAATTTTTATTCCGAAATTATTTTGATGATTCTTAATGTGTCTACGAATCATTCAAAGAGCATATTCCTTTTTAAAAGGCCGACAGCGCACCTGATATGCCGTTGGTGTTGTGGGTGATCATGGGCGGCGGTAGTCACTTACCACCAGGTGAGGCGCATGCTCGTTTGCTCCGTGTGTTGTAAAAAAAAAATCATGTATTAAAACTAAAAGTACCCGAAATAATCTCATTTGTGCTATGATTTGCTCATCATAGCATTTGATGAGAGTTTTACATATTAAGTAACTAGCTATTAATTTAAGATATGATCCATCTATCCGACAAAATTCATTAAATACATGTCCTGATCAGCTTGTATTGTATTGTACAATCTTAAACATATAATACAATAAAAAGTAAGACAATTTTATATATATATATATATATATATATATATATATATATATATATATATATATATATATATATATATATATATATATATATATATATATATATATATATATATATATATATATATATATATATATATATAAAATAATAAACCTACATATGTAAATATACATGAATATATGTTTTTTTTTATACGACTTAGAATGGCAAACAAGCTGACGGCCCACCTGATGGAAAGTGGTAACCGTCGCCTATAGACATGAGCAGTACCATGGACATAACAGTACACACACATACTGTTTCGCCCATGATATCCCCCATGCGTTGCCATTCCTGAGGACTCAGGTGTTATTCCTCTGTACCCTGTAAATTCACGCCATATCCCACCCTTCAAACCGAAACACAGCCATGCAAACACAACTGCTTCACGGTAGAAACACGAATGGGACAGAGGTACCCAAGCAATGTATATATAATAGTGAGTAGGGATATATATTTACATTATTATATGTATTATATCTCCATATATACAAATTATAGGATCTTCATTGTGCCTCCAATCAAACTGTTTATAATTACTCCTCTCCATCCAAAGGTTGACTGGAAGAGATCGCTTATAGCGATAAGGTCGCCCATTGTTTTCTTAGTGTAATTAATTGTTTATATTTATAATAAGTTTACTATTGTAATCTTATGGAGGAAACAATAGAGTATCTATCTATCTATCTATCAAATGTTTACATTAATCAAGGTTACGAAAATACACCTGTATTTGTGTGGATATTTTGTACAAGTAATGTATTCAACAAGCGAACTGAGTGACAGGAACCTGGGGAGGGACGGGGGAGGGCCACATGTCGGCGGGACCTTGACAATGGGGTGCGACCCTCCGCAATGGGGTTTCAGCGGAGATAGCTGCGCGGGTACGGGCTACGAAATAGGGAAGTTATTTAAATATTTATCATGTTTATATCGTAGTAGGTAATAAAGGCGATATTTCCTTGATAAAATAATAGACTAAAAAAATAGGTAAATTTTTTTTATACAACTTAGAATGGCAAACAAGCTGACGGCCCACCTGATGGAAAGTGGTAACCGTCGCCTATAGACATGAGCAGTACCATGGACATAACAGAGTATACTGTTTCGCCCATGATACCCCCCATGCGTTGCCATTCCTGAGGACTCGGATGTTATTCCTCTGTACCCTGTAAATTCACGCCATATCCCACCCTTTAAACCGAAACACAGCCGTGCAATCACAACTGCTTCACGGTAGAAACACGAATGGGACAGAGGTACCCAAGCAATCGACTTTTGTACAAAGTCTCCCTCTGGTAAGGTAATATAAATAATAAATAAGTTGTGTCTGCATAGGTGAGATATGGCAATGAAATTAAAGGGTACAAATGTAATAGTCGCGAATTAAAGGTATCATGGACGACACAGTATACCCTGTTATGTCCAGTTCATGTCTATAGGCGACGGTTTAACACTTTCCATCAGCCTTTATGCCATTCTAAGTTCCATAAAAAACAATATGTATTACTTAGTTATACAGTATACTCTGTTATGTCCATGGTACTGCTCATGTCTATAGGCGACGGTTACCACTTTCCATCAGGTGGGCCGTCAGCTTGTTTGCCATTCTAAGTTGTATAAAAAAAAAAAGTTATACATAATACATATTGTATTTGAATTTTATAACAAAAAAAAATATGTAATTATAAATTTAATTTATTATATTAATTATATTGTGACATTTTTTTTTAAACCATTAAGGTGGCAAACAAGCATACGGCCCCCCTGATGGTAAGTGGTTACCGTAGCCTATGAACACCTGCAATACCAGAGGTATAACGCGTGCGTTGCCGATCCTGAAGAAACCTCTTTACCCCCCTTTTGAAGAACCCCATGCTGTAGTCTCTTGGGAAAATCTCGACAGGGACAAATGCTCATTCCACAACCTGAGCGTTCGTGCGTTATACGCATGTAATCTGTAGTCAATGTTGTGTACGCCTGCTTTAGGTATGCATATCAGCATGCTACATTAAAAATGTTATTAAATTTATGTATAATATGTATACTGTTGGTGCGCCTAATTCGAAATATATAAAATAAACACAGAAACACTAAAAAATAGGGGGGAAGGGATTGTTAGTAATGGGGATTAGCAACCCCATTGCTAGCAATAAACCCTATCAGGTCGACCTCCTCGCGGTTCCCCCTGGAAACCATCGTGATTGGTTTATTGTTGAATTTGTTACGATGGGCTAACTGACCTGCTTCACCCTCATCTATCATCCCTCACTGGTGTCCCGCCGGTGTATACCGATAGCGCAGACGGGGCTACCATTTCATTATCATCCATTAAAAAAAAACACTAAAAAATATAAGTAGGTACCTACATAACATGGTGTATTTTGCAAAAAAATGTACCTACATTGCACTAACAAATTTCACCTGCAAACTAGACAATGAATTATAAATGATTTACATTGTAACTACATATTATAATCATGTGTGAAATGACGCACGCCCATGTCTGACATTTTTTTTATACAATACATAACAAACGTCAATAAAAACTGGTCCCGTCAACAGCTGATTTCGTAGCCACGTGCCTTAAAAACCAAAAGCTATCCGAACGGCTTCCCTACGCGTACGGCATCGCAACGCAACCCTCGTTTGGTTGCGGCAATTTTTGTCGCAATTAGTGAGGGGGACGCGACGAAAAACGCGTTATCTCGTCGTGGTTGTTCAGTTGTCAGTGAATTATAACTGCAGTTACTTGACATATGGATGAAGGTGAAACAATTGGGATGTTTGTGCTGGTGAATATTTGTTTTTTTTTTCTGTATCCAGATGGTTGGGTCTGGTCTTGTCTTAGTGATTGGTCAGCGATGATAAGATCTAAGGTGAAGGGCGCTTATTCAGGTATACAACTCAATATATCAACTCAATGTATGTAAACATGGAAAAGGGATTGTTAGTAATGGAGACTGAGAATCCCATTGCTAGCAATATACCCAACTAGGTCGACCTCCTCGCGGTTCCCCCTGGAAGATATCATGGTTAATTCCTGATGAATTCATCATGATGAGCTAATTGGCCTGTTTTCATTCTCATCTATCACCCTTCACTGGTGCTCCGCCGGCGTGTCCCGCCGGCGTGGCGCGGGCGGGGTTGCCATGCCATTTTCACCCATCAAAAACAAAATATATACAGACATATATATATATATATATATATATATATATATATATATTAGTATCTATGTATATAACAGGGTAGGTGGCGCACCCTTTATTTTTTGTCTCAATGTCCGCTACCCGAAGGTTGTCTGGAAGAGATTGCTTAGCGCTATGGCCGCCTTTTGTATCCAATACTCACTAAAATTTACCGTATTTATAATTTTCACAAATAGTTATAATAACTTTGCAAATATCTTGTTTAAAATACTTTTTGTATACAATTTTTTGGTGAAAATTTCTCTTATATTTTTTTTTTAAGTTTTACGCTGTTAACTTAATTATACAGCGCTATCATACCTACTTGTACAACAATTAGTCCATTACCTTAAGGTTGTCTTGAAAAGATTGCTCTCAGCAATAAGACCGCCTTACTGTACTTATACAATTGTATCGTCGTGTTTGTAAATTGTCTTGCTTATTTCCTATATTGTATAATGCAAATAAAGTATACTCATTCATTAATTAATTTAACTTATTTCATAAGTATTTATGAAAATTTATCATATCACTCTCGACAACATTTTTTTTATACAACTTAGAATGGCAAACAAGCTGACGGCCCACCTGATGGAAAGTGGTAACCGTCGCTATTAGACATGAGCAGTGCCATGGACATAACAGAGTATACTGTTTCGCCCATGATACCCCTCATGCTTTGTCATTCCTGAAGACTCAGGGGTTATTCCTCTGTACCCAGTAAATTCACGCCATATCCCACCCTTCAAACCGAAACACAGCCATGCAAACACAACTGTTTCACGGTTGAAACACGAATGGGACAGAGGTACCCAAGCAAACGACTTTTGTACAAAGTCTCCCTCTGGTGAGTATATCAGTATCGCCATAAAAACAACTTACTATCATTAGCGTTCCCGGCCGGCTCCAAGGTCCAGATCTGTTTCTTCTTGAGGCTGGTCCCGTTGGCGTTGATCTTGAAGCCGAAGGTCTCCGCGGTGAGGTACCGGTAGCGGGAGTTGATGAGGCCGATGGTCCACCAGCCGCGCTGCTGGTTCTGCGTGATGATGTCGCCGGCTCCGTTCACCTCGCCGTTGCTATGTCCGTTGAGACCGTTCATTGTGTCTGCAAAAGGAAATATATTATTTATTTATTTATTCATTAGTACAAATATGTGTACATGGCGAACTTAATGCTAAAAGCATTCCCTCCATCCAAATTTAAGTTTCGATTATGACCAAAATTAATCTTAATAATACCAATAATAATATCAAAACAATATTTTTTAGAAATTTTGTCCGACTATCTGTCTGTCTGTATATTTATACTAGCAGCATGCAAAAACTACTGCACCTAAATGGATGTGGTTGTGGTGTTCCTGAAAGTCTGTTTTAAAATCTAATGTGTTTTATATCGATATCCCATCTAGGAGTAGTCTTTATTTCTTTGAATAATTTCTTTCTTACAATTTCTTTTTTTTTCAGATTTTTTAGAAACTGTCTGCCTGTCTGTAGGTTTGTGCCTGCATTACGCAATAACTACTGCACCAAATTGGATGAAAAGTTTTCACAATTGTAAGTTAGACAACACAAGGATAACCTTAATTTTTGAAGCAGCTGCTCTAAAAATGAAGTGGCCCTACACCTGAACTAATCCCGCAGGTTGTTCAGCCAGTGCCACCTTCTCCCGGCTCTTCTTATACCAATAATATCACTAGGTATTTTATTTTATTTATGTACTGTTATGACTACGGTAAACGCCTTGGCTTGTCACAATTTTGAAAACAAATCTGCATCCGTGAAAAGTGAGCGAACAAGCAATTTGTCACGGCACCGGAGACAAAGGAAGCGATGAACGTAATGGACGAGTCGCCGTCAACTCTTGACAACTAGCGCCACGGTTCATTCGTTCGTTGAAAATTGGCGGTAAAATTGTCAAGCAAAAATGGCGGACGTCCGAATGTAATCACTTTGCTTTTCTAAACAATAAAGACTTTCTATTGTAATATGAAATTATTTTCCCGTTGGATTTTCTCGCGCTATTTAAATTTCGGATGATGGACAATCATTCTTGTCATCAATATTTTGTTTGTTTGTATAAGATTCATTGTTACTTTCACATTTAATACAGATACCAGGTTATAAAGAAAACAATGACGTTACGAATACAGAGTTTAACTTTTTTTTTAATGAGTGAATATTTATTTATTTTATTTATTCATTAAAAATAATTATAACACTATAACAGCAAAAGCCAATTCAATGTTATAAATCTAGTGTGCTAACATACAAAGTTATAATAAAATAATATAATAAGTTATAATATAATAAAATAAAAAAAAAACCTTAGAAAGCACCAAATTGAAATCAATAGAATTTTGTGAATACACATGTATTGCTGTCCCAGCTTGCAATATGGGATAGTTCATTGGCCTCAAAATGAAGTTAACAACAAGTCTCTCTTTTCATTTAAGAGTTTCCTCTTGTCGGTGCAACTAATTCATGCATCTTCCTCTAGCCAGCTCTATCCCAGGCCATATTTTTTACCTCCCTATACGACATGACGCCTAGTGTTTCCTTTATCTGTCCCATGTAGTTATTCCTCGGTCTTCCTCTTCCTCTTTTGCCCTCTATCTTTCCTTCTACTATGCTCTTAAAAAATCGTCATGTCGTATAAGGTGGCCTGGCATTTTGCCTCTTCTATACTTTATTATTTCAACCAATGTTCTCTTCTCGTTCACTCTTTTTAGTACTTCTAACAACAAGTAACAACTATATATTACCATAGATTCATATAAATAAAGAAAATTTGTCCTTAAAAGTTATAAAACATTGGGGTAATAACCGTATAAACATATGTATACGTATCGTATTATAAAAGTGTAATAAAATAACAAATGAGAGGATTTTATTACATTTTTTATTGTCCTGTATAAAGATGTCATTCCATCCAAAAGTAATGTTATTAAAACTGTATATGATAGAATAGAAATAATATTTATTCAAATACGACTTGTTTACAAACTTTTTCAAATCGTCCATTTTATATAATCGTAAAGCTGGGTTCGTGATTTTGTTATTTGCTGAGAAGAAATTTGTTTACTCTTCACGAGCGCAGACGTATGCTAGACGTGATATTCCTTCAAAAGATAGTTAATGGATCATCAATGTGCCAAGGGCTATTAGAGCGCATAGATATATGTGTCCCTAAACTAAATGCCCGTAACAAATGCAAAACTGTCTTTAAAATCCCCAGACATAAAACTAATTTGGGGTTGCATGCTCCAGTCTCGAGGTTAATCAACACGTTGTACTGCTCATGTCTATAGGCGACGGTTACCACTTTCCATCAGGTGGGCCGTCAGCTTATTTGTCATTCTAAGTTGTATAAAAAAAAAATGAAAAGTAATAAAATAAGACCTCTTCTGAATGGCGTATTAAGTATAAATACATGCCAGGTTTTAAGTTCATCAGAAGTACAGCACCATCACAAGATTGCACCCATAGATTGCAATTTTGATTGTTGCAAATTCCATTTAAACTGAAACCCAAATATATTCTATTCGAACTCAGAAGAAGGCCGTTCATGCTATCTCCGTGCAGGAAATAGCTGGCCGAATGAATAGCAACGTTGTCCTGATAAACGTAGTGTATGTAGACAATATTTTCCGACATTTTGCATAGATAATAACGTAATGCTGTGATGTTAGAAATGTAGACGGGCCAGTTAGCGCGGTGTCGCGGAACGGCGCGGCGCACTTAGCAGTTCTGAACCTGAAATTATTTCTCGTACACTATTTATATGTAAATGAGATATGATAAACTGTTTATTTAGAACCAACCAGACCTTATCGAGAGTGTTACAAACGGTATTTTATTTTAAATAAGTATCGTGAATGCAATGAAAAGCAATTTATTTACAAATCTTGCTAAATAAGAGGTTATAAATATATAAAAAAATAAAGTATTGCTCATGTCTATAGGCGACGGTTACCACTTTACATCAGGTGGGCCGTCAGCCTATTTGCCATTTTAAGTTGCATAAAAAAAAAAAAAAAAAAAAAAAAAACCCTAATTGTAAATAATTCTACATACAGTTTATCAGTTTTTGTCGGGACTATTTGTTAAATGCGTCAACTGCATTAATAGTAATAAGTCATACGGGTACCCGGAGTTAATCCTCGCTGTCCTTTGATTATCACGTATTGGTTATGGGGTATCCAATGGGGAACATGATATGTTTATGGTAGGAATTATAATATTATTATTGGATAGAATGGAGTAAATATTTGAAGAGTTTTTAACTACAGATGATAGGTGATAACGAAGTAAGTTCAGTTGGCCCAACAATGGTTTCCAGGGTGACGGTGCAGAGGTCGTCCTGACAGGATATATTATGTTATTAGGGATCACCTAGTATTCTTCTATATTAACTATCCCTTCCTTTCCTTCGTTGGAATTCTTTAATTATCCAAATATAAACCTACTTATATTTATACATACAATTATTTTAGTTTGTTCCCTCTCAACTGCAAATAACGCAATATACCTAGGTGGTTTGTAATATATTTTGTAAATTATAGAATATATTTGGTTTTCAGTTTAAATGTAATTTGCAACAATCAAAATTGCAATCTATGGGTGCAATCTTGTGATGGTGCTATTATTAATTTTATTATATCTGAAGCTGACTGTTTTAAAGAGCATAAAACTGCTAGTTACGTCGGCATCTTTTTTTTTACATAAGTATTCTTTTTATGCTACGAAGGTCGAGATGTACGAAGGTATAAATGTTCAAAATAAATAGAAATATATATTATATATATTACCAAACACATACCCATAGAATAAAATTGTCACTAAAAACGATATATATATATATATATATATGCAAATGATCTTCACGACATAATAATAATTTTAAAAACAAACATTTTAAAAAAATATATCTATTTGTTTCTCTTTTTAACGACATCACACAAGAACTACTGCAACAAGTCGGATGCAGTTTACGCAGTTAAAATCGTGTGTATATTTTATCCCATCACACCATCCTAAAGTGGTCGATTTACTTTTCCGACTTCTAAAATCCACGCGTACGAAGGCGTGAGCAAAAACTACTATAGTAATAAAAATAGCGTATGACTGTATTGACGGTTTCAAATACAACGTGGGAATTTGACCAAAGTACATTAAATGCAAGTGCAAATATATGTATGTACTTCGCCATATGGCGTAACAGGACGTCACGGTAGACTGCCAAGGTCAGGTGGGTCAAAGGCACTGTGCACCAGCCTGTGTGGTTTAGCATTACGTGTTTTTTTTAAATATTTGATAATGGAATATTAATCCTGCCAACGTATATTGATAGCGCACTATCGGTATAAGTTGGTGGGGCACCAGTGAGATATGGGAGCTGGGAGGTACAAATGAAAGCAGGCCAGTTAGCTCATCGTGACGAGTTCAACTAGAATCAACGACGATAGTTTCTAGAAGGAACCACGTAGAGGTCGATCCCATTATTAACAATACACCCTATTGTTAATAATGGAGGTATTTGACCATTAAATGTTGTAATAGGATACCGAAGGATATTTTAGATCTGTCTTTTAATAAGTTTAAAATTAAGTTATTAAAGTTATTAAAAAACATTTATTGAACAAAGCCTATTACGCACTAAACGATTACTTGAATGACAAATGTGCATGGTGTTAGTCGAATATGCACGGACTTTTAACGACCAAGTAATTTTAGACATAGTACATTTAAATAAATACACATAATGTTAACAGAGATTTCAAAAAGCAATTGTTACGTTTCTTGCTGGCTCTTCTCAACAGATAACAACCTTCCGAACTCTGCAGTAGATTTTAAAAAAATACGATTTAAAAGTGCCCGTAAACAAGTTGTTTAAGAAAAATTTAAATTTAAATTTGACTTCATTACTAACGATCCCTTTCCCCTTAAGCGTTACATGTAATGTTTGTACGTAGAAGATATTCATATTAAAAAATATATGTAGGGTCTTAAACAACAGCGATAGATAGAATAAGTCAAAACAATTAACTTGAGAAATTTTGTATCTGTACGTTTGTTCCGATATTACGCGAAAACTACTGCACCAAT